AGCAAAGGGTCTGAATATTTAGGACCATGTGATATTTCAGTTTTTCTTTTTTAATAAATCTGCAAAAATGTCAACAATTCTGTGTTTTTCTGTCAATATGGGGTGCTGTGTGTACATTAATGAGGAAAAAAAATTAACTTAAATGATTTTAGCAAATGGCTGCAATATAACAAAGAGTGAAAAATTTAAGGGGGTCTGAATACTTTCCGTACCCACTGTATATATATATATATATATATAAAAATAGTGTATATAAATGTATATACATGTCAATATTTTCAAGATATATACTGTATGTGTGTGTATTTATATACACATAATAAATAAACACAGCACACACACATATATTATGTAAACAAAAACTTATTTCGGATGCGATTTGACATCGTTTGACAGCACTAATAAAAACAAATACAATTAAAAAACAAAAACATTAATAAATACTATAACTGAATGCAAACACTACTAAACTAAAACGGTCACATACTTCAGTTGGGATGTCAGCTATGTAGACTAATGTTAGAAACTGCGAGCTTAAAAACAGTCCTGTGCTGTGATTGGCCGGTCTTTCCTGTCAATCACACAGACTCACCTTCGATTGGTCTCTGCATTCTTTTCAGCAGCCATGACTTCATCTCGGCCTCACTGGCTCGTCTGCGACGCTCCGCTTCAGAAAAAGAGTTTGGTCCCTTATTATCCTCAAGATTTGGTCCGGGCGAGCTACTACATCTCCCAGAGTCCTCTAGGGTCGCCTTTGTTTTTTGGTCGCTTGCGGTCGCCTCGATTGCCGAGACTCCATTTACTAACGTTTCACCCCTTGTTTTGGTTTCTTCGTTCACTTCTGTGGTGGCTTCCTTCCCATCATGCACCAGTGCATCCAGCCTGTTTGGAAAAGACTGTAGCAGCTCTGCGTTGTCATCTGTGGAACGGTTGTGAAGGCCTTCATCCTCGTCTTCTTCAGCGCGATAAGATGTCACGGATTGGTCTGTTGGCGTCTTTCTTTGCTCCTGTAGTGGCGCCCCCTCTTGGCCAGAGCAGGTGGTGTTAGAGTCGCTCTGCAGCAGCTCCAGTTCGGTGAAACCTTCGTCCGACGGCGATTTGTCGGCGATCTGGCACTCTGATATCTCAGAGACGGCCGTTTCGATATCGTCTAACACGATTGGCCGGTTGGGCGCGCCGAGAGCCTCGTAACGACTAAAGGGGTTCAGATCTCGTTCGGAGGGAAGCTCCTCCCACTCGCCGGGCCTGTATAACGGACAGAGATCCTGGGGTTCATCACTACAACGGATAACAGCGGCCATCATCATCATCATGAGCGTGGAGATGGTGAAATTAAAGAGAAAAACAAACAAAACATCCAAAATGAACAAAACAGAAATATGACAAAACTTAAGGGATAAATGTGATTTTTGGAGTCAAAGCTGAACCAAAATGGAATGAATAAAAAACAAAATGTAAAAAAGTGAAAGATGGTGGACTATTTCAGGTGATTTGCATCAGTAATTTTGATTCATCCCTCAGTTTGTGAGAATAAACAAAAATGTATTTGAAAATTGCAGCATGGTGAATAAATGCTTAAAATATGCTACCATCACACTGTTTATAAAATATAAACTTACACATAACATTTAAATTTAGCCATTAAGCCATCAAGTAAATGTGTGTTTAAAGTAAAAATTAATAAATCATTAAATGAATTAATACATAAGGTAAAGTAGAAAAATTAAAAATTTTAAAAGTTAAAATAAAACATTTAAATAAATAAAAAATAAATAATGTCTTTTATAAAAATAAAAATAAAATATGGAAAATAAATGAATTAAAATAAATTAAATTACATTTACATAATTAAATAATATAAGATAACATAAAAATAAAATTAAATCAAGTTAAATCAAAATAAATAAATTAAATTACATTTAAATATTTAAATATGACGGCGATTTGTCGGCGATCTGGCACTCTGATATCTCAGAGACGGCCGTTTCGATATCGTCTAACACGATTGGCCGGTTGGGCGCGCCGAGAGCCTCGTAACGACTAAAGGGGTTCAGATCTCGTTCGGAGGGAAGCTCCTCCCACTCGCCGGGCCTGTATAACGGACAGAGATCCTGGGGTTCATCACTACAACGGATAACAGCGGCCATCATCATCATCATGAGCGTGGAGATGGTGAAATTAAAGAGAAAAACAAACAAAACATCCAAAATGAACAAAACAGAAATATGACAAAACTTAAGGGATAAATGTGATTTTTGGAGTCAAAGCTGAACCAAAATGGAATGAATAAAAAACAAAATGTAAAAAAGTGAAAGATGGTGGACTATTTCAGGTGATTTGCATCAGTAATTTTGATTCATCCCTCAGTTTGTGAGAATAAACAAAAATGTATTTGAAAATTGCAGCATGGTGAATAAATGCTTAAAATATGCTACCATCACACTGTTTATAAAATATAAACTTACACATAACATTTAAATTTAGCCATTAAGCCATCAAGTAAATGTGTGTTTAAAGTAAAAATAAATAAATAATTTAATTAATTAATACATAAGGTAAAGTAGAAAAATTTTAATTTTTAAAAGTTAAAATAAAACATTTAAATAAATAATGCCTTTTATAAAAATAAAATATGGAAAATAAATGAATTAAAATAAATTAAATTACATTTACATAATTAAATAATATAAGATAACATAAAAATAAAATTAAATCAAGTTAAATCAAAATAAATAAATTAAATTACATTTAAATATATTAATATGTGATATAAAATAAATAAATGATATAAAAATTAATTAATTAAGTTACATTTAAATAAATAAATAAATGCAATAAAATAAGTACAATTAAAAAAAAGTAATAAAATAAAAAAGTAAAATAAATGAGTTAAAAATCAATTAAAAAAGTAAATAAATACATTTAATTTTAACAAACAAAACAAAACAACTGGATTGTTATTGGTCATTCAGCATATTAAAATATTAAATACTAAATTAATTTTAACCGTGGACCCGTAAATATTTACTGAACCAAAACGGAGACGTCATTTTATGTCATAAAAAGCATTTTTGTGATAAACAAAAAACAAAGGATCTGGCTGCTCATAGATTACAAAATAAAAGTCCTACTGGTATATAATCAAATCTTAATGGTGCTAAAACAACATTTTGTTGCCATCCCGAAACAAAACCTAAAGCTTGTTTCTAGTGGTAAACAAGCACATAATCATCGTTTAGATCAAATATTTTTAAAAACCATAAACGACACAGAGAGGGTTTTCTAAGACGACAACAACAAAATGTAAGAGATTTTAAAGACGGAGGAGTCTGTTGCTTACGACGGCAGCGCGTCCTTGAGCTTCATACGGGACACGTCGTCATACAGGGCCACAGACAGCACCTCCTCCATGGGACAGATGAGACCGTACTCCTCACAGCCGTTCTCGATCACCAGCGGGTCGGATTTGTGTGGGTCAAACATGATGTTGTTGGGTGTTATAATCATCACTCCTCCCACAACTCCCTGCAGAGATCCCAGAAACCTCAGTTAAAGCTGAAGTGCGTCATGGAAGTCGCTATAATGAGTACAAATTTGGGCTGGGACAATAAATCGATGCATCGCGAATAGAGTAATTATTCTGCATCCATTCAGAGATCGCGATTCTCTCTTGAATCGCTTCTGAGCTTACGTTTTTAACTATTGCTGTCAAACGATTAATTGCATCCAAAATAAAAGTTTCTGCATGTACTGTGTATATTTATTATGCATATATAAATACACACACGTACAGCAAATATTTTGAATATATTTACATGCATATATTTATATACATATCATTTATATTATATATAAATATATTTAATATATAAATGTAACATTTATCTTAAATATATACATGGGTCAAAGACGAAAAAGGGTTTAAGCATAAAAACAAGTGAAATATTGCATTAATTTGTTGTTGTTTAATTTAATTGCAATTTAGCAAAAAATATGATGACCAAAGATGATGTATAAATCTCAATTTCACAAAATTGACCCTTATGACTGGTTTTGTGCTCCAGGGTCACATTTACAAATACTGCATTAAATTGTTGCTGTTTTTCCCAAAAATTATTTTCTGTTTAATTTAATTGCAATTTTGTTTTTCTGAGCAAACAATATGATGACCAAAGATGATGTATAAATCTCAATTTCACAAAATTGACCCTTATGACTGGTTTTGTGCTCCAGGGTCACATTTATGTTCGTCTTTCTTCAGAAAAAAATGAACAAAATCTGAAATTTGAGCCGGGGAAGTTTCTGAAATGTGCTTGATTGAACAGCATCATGCAACGCTCACCATGCCATCAGTGAAGTACTTGCAGCTCATCTTGAGGAATTTGACAGTGACTGGACTCTCGTCTTCAGAGAGCGGCGACGTCTCTCTGCGCACGGGCCGTCTGGACCTGCAGCTCGATTCACTGTCCTGTCAGACGGAGATATATCAGAGATCCATTAGTGCTGTCTGATTCAGAGTCGCTCATTCATTATTCATGATGCTTATCATCACTGCATCAGTCAACAATACAGCAGAACAAATACACAATTCAGCACAAACTCCACCAGTCATTTTTTATATCTTATAGTATATGATTTTTAGTGTCCAGTTATGAGCTCAGAGGCTTTTATGAAATTCCGGGTTCGGAGGAAACTGCAGGAGGTTTGTTATCAGATGAAAAGCTAATAATTCTAAAAGTGTGAAATGAAAACAAATGGTTTTAAAATAAAAACAATGAAAATAAAACTAATATTTTATTTGTGTCTGTCATGTGAACATTAACTGACATCAGAAAAACTGTTATTGAACAATTTATTGAGATATTAACTTAAAATCTCAGGCAGACTTCAAGAAAGTAATTTAGGTCTAAACCGGTTTAATCACTGAATGTCTGAGTATCACTGAGATACTATAATAGGTTTTTTTTATTTGTTTTTATTTTTCTATTTTAAGTTTTAGTAATTTTATGTTTGTCATTTTTATTTTAATTTAGTTTTATAATCGTTAATTGAAATAAAGCTGAACTAAAATAAAATATAAAATTTATTTAATAAAAAATAATGTCAACTTAAAAGAAAATTACACCCCCCCCCCCCCAAAAAAACCCTAAAATTAAAGTTGAAAAAGTACAATGACTAAAATTTAAAATAAATATATATATATATATATATATATATATATATGTTAACATTTCTTTTTAGTTTTAGTGAACTATAATAATCTATATAGGAGTCAATAATATAAAAAATGTAGGTTCCTGTGAGATTTTATTTAGGGTGTTACACCACAAACAGCCACCGGGTGCCATCCAAACTCTATAGAATGTTTGTTGATGCAAAATTTGTTGTCTAAATTTCTCAATCAATATTACTTCTATAACCACCAAATGTGGAATCTTGAGACTCAGACCGTTCCAAATACATGCATTTTGTCAAAATTATAAAAACTTTTGATTCTAAAAGACCGTAATACATTTTGTAATACGACACTTGACTCCACCCACTAAGGGGAGGAGGCCGCTAAAAGATTTGAAAGTACCATTTCCATGGTAAAGCAATGTCCGATTTAAAAAGGTTTTCACAGGATGAATTCTGAGGTTTTAAGCTTTCAGATGATATATGTGACCCTGGAGCACAAAACCAGTCATAAGGGTCAATTTCTCGAAATTGGGATGGTTCATATGGAAATATGGTTAGGATCGGACAATATTTGGCTGAGATACAACTATTTGAAAATCTGGAATCTGAGGGTGCAAAAAAATCTAAATATTGAGAAAATCACCTTTAAAGTTGTTCAAATGAAGTTCTTAGCAATGCATGTTACTAATCAAACATTAAGTTTTGATATATTTACGGTAGGACATTTACAAAATATCTTCATGGAACATGATCTTCCCCAGCGACTTAAGACTGCTTTTGCGCTCCAGCGTCACATATAATTTATGATAATTACTAAATTATGTGATGGAGAAAAAAGACAACAAAGAGTGCCATTGGGCCCACCTGTGGGCCGGTGGCCCTTCAGGGGTTAAGCGATCCTTACAGAGAAAAACAGGCCGTCTGAAGCGTCTTACCTTCAGCTCCAGCGCTGTGAGATGCTCAGAGGACCGCTCTGATTGCTCCACCTCAGGGACGAACAGTTTCTGAGCGGGAAACTAAACGTTAGGCTTTAGGTTTAACTGAGTCACCGATCAAAGCGCAGGAGAGGAGCCTCACCTGTCCAGGTACGACGCTGAGCGAGTAGAGACGGTTCAGTTGCACCAGTTTATTCGGAGTGATGTTGAACTTCAGAGCGATGCTGTTCAGAGTGTCCTTCGCTCCGACCTGACCAGTTAAAAACATGAAAGATTAAGCAGTTCATTGATGAGATGAGCAGCGTTTATACAGCGAGACGAACTCACGGTGAACTCCGCGGTTCCTGGAGGTTTACTTCTCTCTTTCTTGGTCTGACTGCGTGATTTACTGATTTCATCTGAAAAAAGAAAAATACCCCCCCCCCCCCCCAAAAAAACCCTAAAATTAAAGTTGAAAAAGTACAATGACTAAAATTTAAAATAAATACATAATTCAAAAAGCACATAACAAAATTAATAAAACTCAAATTAAAATTAAAACATTAAAATAAAAAAAAAACCTAAATAATACATTTAAGAACGTCAAGTTAAATTAAGTGAAAATGAGAAATGCTGCCTTTGCAACTAGCCAAAATAAAATAAGTTTAGAAAATATAAAATAATATAAAT